TGTACGTATCTATTAAAGCAACTATTATGAACCATTAAAATACGTTAACTATATAATAGATTTTTTATTACAGGCAATTAAACAGTATATAAAACTGCAGTAGCTCCTAACTGTGCGTGACTGCCGTGTTTCTCGTTCTGGTTTATTTGCTAAAATATATACCTGCATGCCACATTATCATTCTACAATAAATAATCATTGATCGATTCCACTCGTGGATATATTATTATGCATGCTTACACTTACGTACCATTAATTATTACTTTATATGCATTTTACGGTACGGAAATTGTAAAGGTAGGTCTCTCCGAGAATTCACATAAAGTTGTTTCAGTTGTTTCAAATCCCACGGTAGTTACTCTCATCTGTATACATATTAAAGTAAAATTCCTGAATAACACTGTGGGGGACGGGTAATATATTAATTGTTTATTATAATTACACCATTCCTCTTAAAAGACATAAGCTATTTTTATTTTATTCTAATCTCTTTTAGACCTCTTGAAGACAAGATTAAAGTTGGCGCCTTTTCAATAATTATAATACAAGGTTGACTATTTCGAATTTTAATGCTAACTAGAAAACTAAGCATAATTTCAAATGTAACAACAATGTGCGTTGACACAAAAACTAATGAATCTGGTACAGTATGCTTACATTGATACTAAATTGTTATGTTTTCGTTTCATTTTAAGGAAATGGCAGAAACCTCCTGTACAAACCCCCCAAATCCAGGAACAACTGAGCAAGGTAAAGTTTAACCACGATAAAAACTGTTTAGAATTATATAGCAATGAAATATTTGTAACAATTATACAATTAGTCACTGTATACAGAAGGGAACTACAGGTTATGCTTCATTTAAGAAATAACGTATTCTATATCTATTTGGAATAGGACACAATCAAAATTCTTGAACATTACTATGGGTTATAATTATAAGAGGTACACGCGGACCGAGAATTGAGTGCTGACATCCACACATGCATGGAATTGGCGTAGCCAACCTGGCGATTTAGTCTCGTTATTTTGGTGTTCATCTACTGAGAAGACAATGAACTTTTTAAAAAAGGGAATAACTAAAATGAGTTGAAATTGGCATTGGGACTAAATCGCTAGGCGCCAGCTGTTTTGCATTGGTACAAAGAATTAATGCTAAAATTTATACTAAAATGATGGTAATGTCTTCATTGATGTTCACGTCCGAAAATCCTTAATCCTTTAGCTTGCACAGCAAATGGCATATATAGTAAAAGTTTTCAAACGTTATATGAATTGCCAAATCTTTGAAAAGTCAAAGCAAGTTTCACTTTCAGTACCCGCAAATTTCCAAGGAATTGCGGAAGGTTGTTCCGGGAAAACCACAAATGTTCACGACATGTTGTCCAGTCATGCTGGTGAGAATGACGCTGTAGCATAAATGAAAATGATATATAAAACCTAATGGCTCTTTCAAACAAAACCAAGCTGGTTTATTCAGAATTGTTGTTTGTTGTTGAGAACGGTTTAAATATTGTAACAAATAATTATAGCTACAATTTAGAGCTTAATAAAAAAACTGTAAGTGATGCTATAGCTTTTCTTCAATTGAATATTCAGCTTGGTGCATTTTTAGGCTCGACCAATAAGCTGTATTGTTCTGTCCGAGATTTGTACCGTCCTATATTATCCATAATTCTAAAAAGGCTAAAAAATATAATAATTTCTCTGCAGCATTCTTGAGTTAATTATCCAAATTTAATAAATGTTTATAAAAGAAAAAAGTTCACAGCATGTTTTCAGTCATACCGATTGGAATAACAACTTCAATTTATTCGTATTTTAAATTAGATTTATAAGGGAGTCTTCGATTGTTCAATTTCAATAAGGTTCCAATTAATGCTATAAAAAAAATGGCCTCTGTTATTTAAATAATTTTATTAGCGTGGATCACGTTGAATTACCTCAGCAATTGAATTAAGACGGTCCAATAAGATTCTGAAACAATTATCTCATTTTTTATTATTATATTAATTTTGTGACATAGCTTCTGTTACAAATTAGAATGTGAGAATTTTTGTAGAATGCATATTCATAAATTCATGTTAAGAGACTTGCAAAGACAATCGATTTGAAAAGAAATTGATCTTGCACAAAATAAATATATGAAGATTCCCCAAACACCCACCCCTTCCCAATTATCGCGCTTGCTATACGCCACTGGATTTTGTAAAAAAGTAGCCAGATGGCCTTGTTTAATCATGCCTGGATGATCTGGTTTAAGCCCGTGGAGTCGTTTTTTAAGGTGCAGATGAAATAAAAGATAAAGCTCCACAAATTATAGTTCAAGGAGGTTTGTATAATCGAGTTGTAAGGCGATCGGGCCGTCAGGATCTAACTATTTACCTGGACGCAACCAAAGAAGCATCCAAGATAGGTTATACAGTTTTACTGGTAAGCAAATTTTATACGTATTTGATAAAATTTATCTATTCATATTGGCGAAATTCATCCAGCAATTTAATCAGCGACTTAATGAGTTGTGATCAATTATAAACAGGTAATGTGTTTTCATGTTTATCCTACGCAGGAGAGTGAGTTATTTTGCAAAAGTGCGTGTTCAACTTTTGCATCTGATAGTACATTAGGAATATCAAAACGGGCGTGATTTCGTCAACATAATTTTAGTCATTACTGCATGACAGTGATGTGGGGTAAATTTAATATCTCTTTATGCAGAATGGCGGCACAGCCATTGACGCAGTCGAAGCAGCAGTTCGTCATCTGGAGGAAAATGAGTATTTCAACGCAGGTCGTGGATCATTTTGGAATAAAGATGGGGATGTGGAATGCGATGGAATGATTATGGATGGACATGAATTGAGAGCAGGTATATATGGATAGCCATTGTGTTTGTTAATAGCATTAAAATGTTATTTTTAATAATTATTTTTTAAGTTACTATGCAACGAAATTTCAGCCCTTATTTTTATTGTTGCACTGCAAAGAAAACTTGAAATGAAGACAAATGATTTTTTGTTCAATATACTTAGTTCAATCGTTTAAAGAATTCTTTCCAATGCTACCACAAAAATAAAAGGCAAAATTTGCCTTTGATGAATGGGCATAATTATTGTGTAATAGTACAATTTTTAGGAAAACGCCATATATGTTTCTTTGCGTAGACTTTCTGAATAATAAATACATAATAAACTTCGAGATGACATTGATATTTGAACAAGAGAGCTGAAACGTACCCTCACAAAATCACTTTATGTCTGATTGTAAAATTTCTACTGTAAAAACAATACTCATTTATAATATGGGCATTCTTCATTTCTGGTACTTAAAATATTTAACAATTACTCGACGAAAGCATTTTTTCAGCGATATTCACCGAGCCTGAGGTGAATAATTGTTTTAGTATGATTACAGGTGATGACAAGGTGATTTATTGGGATGGCGAATCTGTAAATACATCTACAATCTTAAACAAATATCTGGACAGTTTTAGAGCGATTCAAATAAAAAAATGCTTTCGAAAAATAAAGTTAAAAAGCGTTCTAGAACGTATTTTTTAACTTGAAAAAAATTTCAGGCCTATTTTTTTCACGTCTTTTGCGCTTTCAGGTACAGTATTTTCGTCAAAATAACGTATTTTTTCATCTGTCAGTTTTAATATTTAATATTTTGTAAAGAAATATTTAAATTTGAAATTTACTTACTTCTTGTACGCATTGTGCCGATTCCCAAGTTCACTCCTCTGTTTATTAGCGAAATCGTTTGAATCCCTCCGAATACGAAGGTCGGTCAATAGTCGATATAATAATATCGTTAACATTTTTAACAAGTTTCCAGACGTTTTCAAGTAGATTTCAACTAGCTCTTTAACCATCGACAACGTAAAATCCCAACTTTGACCAAATATGGCGCCATTGTGTCATCTCATCTCGATTGTTAACAATTTCGCATTGTTAGTCTTACATTCAAGGCCTTTTAATCTCAGCATTAACAAAATTAATATGACCTTTATAAAGGACTTGAGATTAAAAACATGAATAAAATATGAGAAAGACAGCATTTTACCACCCTGTAAAATTTGCACATGAGTCGTTCAAAACAATCCCTACAGATTTCGTGCGAGGAACGGGGAACGGCTCTAACAGGGGGTTGAATATCTTCATAAATGATAGAAAACTGCATCTGAAGACTGAAATACACACAACATTGAACGCGTTCGCACTATATATCGCAGTATATATAACAGTAAATTTCAGGATATAACTTTATTAATACATTGGTTTTCATTCTTTGTTTAATTACAGTTATTAGTCCTTTGTTGTCGAACGCAGCTTTTTCTCTTCGTGTGAAAATAGATCAACCCCCCTAGCATATCCTTATCGCGTTCCTCGTGCGAAATCTATACGGATTGTTTTAAAAGACTCGTGTGCAAATTTACCAGGGTGGTAAAACGCTGTATTTCTCGTATTTTATTAAAGTTTTTAATTCCAAGTGTTTTACAAAGGGTCATATTAATTTTGTTAATTCTGAACACCAAACATGCAGTGATAATATATTATTTAAAAATTTACGATTTATGTTTTAATAATTCATAGTCATTTTCTTGTAAAGTATTAGTTCTAGGCAATTATTCTTACCAATGAACACCCCTAAAAGCACCATCTCTGAACCATACAAGCAGCTCATATTACTCAAAGCTTTTTTGCTTTGGCAGATAGCACTATAGTGAATGTCCCGTTTTTGGGTGTTTCAGTTTTGCGGATATTTCGCCCTGTGTTACCCGAATACAGTTGAGTTTGCCTGTCCTAAATGAAATGGTCCTTGACTATTATTACTAAAAACAACTCCGGCGACATTTAGAAAAATCCGGTTAGGTGATTATCGCGTAGTAGTCCGAGGGCGCTCAACCAATCAGAGGGCAGAATTTCCAATAATTGCCTTTGTTATTGTACTAAACGTTAACCGTGTCAATAATTACAACTTTATATTCAGGTGCGGTAATGGCAGTACGACATTTTCTTCATCCTGTTACGCTCTCCAGGGCAGTCATGGAAAAGTCGAAACATTGTGTCTTGTGTGCAGATGGAGCTCTGGCATTTGCTCGATCAATAGACTTCCAAACTATTCTGGAAAATCCCGATGAACTTAAAATCCCGGATGCAAATAACAGGCAAGCTACCTTACCAGACGAGGGATATGGTGATTCAGTGACAGCTGTTGCATTAGACTCGAAAGGACGTATGGCGTGTGCCATTTCGACAGGTAATGATTGACGATAATCAAGTTCATAAACTCTTTCGGGATAATTCTATGAATTGAAGTTCTTACATGGTCAGGTTTCCTTGTTCGGTCTTGTAATGAATTTAAAACTAATTATAAGCTTTGCCCAAATTTATATAAGATATAATCGATTTCACGCTAATTTTTCGGTTACAAAGCGAATAATATCGATTGAGGCATTAAAAAATCGGAATTGCTATTCCCAGTTCACCTCTATACGAAACGACAAATAAGAATTTTTTTTCAGGTGGTACTCCAGACAAACTGATGGGTCGTGTTGGCGATGCACCTCTGATTGGTTGCGGAGGTTACGCAAATGAACATGGTGCAGTAACAGCATGCGGGCACGGAGAATCCATAATAAAAATGAATTTAGCAAAAGAGATTGTTCATAATATTGAAAAGGAACAAAGTGCTCAGGTTGGATGTAAATAATTTATCTCCACTTTGATAAATGTCTTTGCAGATTTAATCTCGGAATGTTTTGGATTTTTTGATGACTATACTGAGTAATATACTACATGCATAGCATGAAAATAGTTATGTATTTTTGGCATCAGTAGGGGCTTAAGGGACAAATTAAACCCACTACGGCCTCTGGTTGTTTTTGATACCTCGGGATACCTCTATACCTCTCTCTATATATATATATATATATATATATATATATATATATATATATATATATATATATATATACATATATATATATATATATATATATATATATATATATATTTATATATTATATATATATATATATATATATATATATATATATATATATATATATATATACACCCATTTGCAAAAACGTTGGCCGCAGATAGATAGATAGATAGATACTCGAAGTCTAATTAGAATTGCATATGACTACATTTGCATGGGATTTCAATCATATTACACAACATATGCAATTCTAATTAGATTTCGGGTATCTATCTATATATCTATCTGCGGCCAACGTTTTTGCAAACGGGTGTATATATATATATATATATATATATATATATATATATATATATATTTATATTTATATAATCTTAAAATTTTTTCATCGCTACACTGTGTTTCACGCTTAAAAAGCGATCTTCAGGCGAATGGATACTACGATTTTATAACTAACGGTTTGCTGACGCGTTGAGATGACTTGCGCGTGCGTTTGCGATTTTGAATTTTTTCGCGCTGAATTTATTGCGGTGTCTACACTTCGCAAACAATTCCGATCGTTTATTCAACGCTCTGTCTTTGCTCAATTCAAGGATATGAAGTTTCTCCTCCAAACACAGATTACATCTTTTTCCACCAGCTCTACACGCCGGGACTTGCTTTAAAAGGGACCACTTGATAGAGAATTGTCTCTCGCTTTCTTTCAATATCCAAACATATTTCGAAAGTTCCGTTTCTGTCGAGTAGCGCGCGTTGTTGAATGACTTTTTGTGGTTAGAGAAACGGTTCTTGAAGCTTCCTGCTGTCATTCCAACATATTCTTTCGTATCGCCGTCGTCGGTTGACGTAATTTCAGCTTTGTAAACCACGCTCTCTGACAAGCATTTTCCTGATAATGGACATTCTTCTTTGACGCGACAGTTGCAGTTTCTTTCGCTGGATGGTTCGTTTCGTCTTTGTAACACACGGTGGTTGTGGTTTGAGATTGAGGTTTTTACGTTGAGGTCAGCTACTCCTGCATGAACAACGTAAAAACCTCAATCTCAAACCACAACCACCGTGTGTTACAAAGACGAAACGAACCATCCAGCGAAAGAAACTGCAACTGTCGCGTCAAAGAAGAATGTCCATTATCAGGAAAATGCTTGTCAGAGAGCGTGGTTTACAAAGCTGAAATTACGTCAACCGACGACGGCGATACGAAAGAATATGTTGGAATGACAGCAGGAAGCTTCAAGAACCGTTTCTCTAACCACAAAAAGTCATTCAACAACGCGCGCTACTCGACAGAAACGGAACTTTCGAAATATGTTTGGATATTGAAAGAAAGCGAGAGACAATTCTCTATCAAGTGGTCCCTTTTAAAGCAAGTCCCGGCGTGTAGAGCTGGTGGAAAAAGATGTAATCTGTGTTTGGAGGAGAAACTTCATATCCTTGAATTGAGCAAAGACAGAGCGTTGAATAAACGATCGGAATTGTTTGCGAAGTGTAGACACCGCAATAAATTCAGCGCGAAAAAATTCAAAATCGCAAACGCACGCGCAAGTCATCTCAACGCGTCAGCAAACCGTTAGTTATAAAATCGTAGTATCCATTCGTCTGAAGATCGCTTTTAAGCGTGAAACACAGTGTAGCGATGAAAATATTTTAAGATTAATATAAATATAAATATATTGCTCTATCACACCTCGATATTGAGCACTCTTTGTTCAAGTACGGACAACGAAATATTATATTGGATATAATATCATCATCTATATATATATATATATATATATATATATATATATATATATATATATATATATATATATATATATACTAATTTATTCAGTTAAGATGTCACGTATTACTGCTCGCATGTTTGGAGATTGAAGCAAATTGAAAAACCATATATAACATTAAGTAGTCGATCGTATCGCTAGAAAATTCAATCGTCGAAATCCTTTGAGACACAATTTTAAATGCATGCATGGTATAGTTTCTTCTAAAAATGCGATTTCATGCACTAAGATTGCACTTTTATGGTCATTTTGAGTTTCTCCAGGGCTGTTTAGTTTGTATGCAAATTCTTTCCAACATTTTTTGGCACAATTAATAATTTTATACGCGGTGCAATTAATGAAGTAAGTCTCTCTTTTCGCCATATATTTTTTTTACTCTTTTCGCCAGCAATTATCTTTCGCTCATAATATAATTACTGGTCTTGAACTGAATAAGAGTAGAAATTCATAAAGTCTTTCATATTTTAGGAAGCTGCTGAAAATGCTGTGAAGAAAGTGAACTCTGATAGCCGCGTGGGAAGGTTTGTTGGTGTGATTGCTATTGACAAAGGAGGGAATATCGGGGTAAAAACAAATGCTGCGGTCATGCCTTGGGCGTCCATCAAGGATAATAAGATGAAATTTGGCTGGCACCAAAATATTTTCGAAACAGTTGACATATAATTTTTACTCGTGCACACAAAACAACGTAACAATAAACATTTGTAGAAAACTGACCATACATATGGCTGAGATATTTGTTTCTTTATTTCAACTAACCAAGTTCAAGAAAAATAATCAGATGTTTAAAGCTAATTATGTCACAGCATTGCTGGGGCCGGTTGTATAAAAACGTAGTTAAGAAATAGTTAAAAGTAGTTAAAAAGTAGTACTTTAATCACGCAGTTAAGCCGGTTGTATAAAAGTATAGTTAGCCTTAACTGCACTTAAAAAGTAGTGAAAGTTAACTATCTTCAAGGGCATCGTTAGCTTTACAAATCGTAGTTAAAAATGGCGTCTTGAACTTTTGAGGAGTGTGAAAACATTAAAATCAACCCATACCAAGGTTTTCAACCGTTATCCACTCAGAAAAGGCCCCGTCGGAGCTTTTAAACTTCCAATATGCTTTTATTTTTTCTTTTCGGCACCAACAGAGCATATTTTTGCTAATGCCAAATTACGATCCTAGCGATGCGAAACTACGATCCGGCCTAGCAAAGATTAGGCATCTCCATTTTCAACTGCAACCTAGCTGTATAGTTTGACTCAAATGTAGCTTTTTATATTAACAGCGCCTTTTTCGTTGAATTATTCGTTGAACTTTTTACTTGTTTTATTGCATTTTTTCCAATATTTTAGATCAAAATATTATCAATTTTTTAAAATAGTAGTCCACAGTCTTGTTCAAAATCAATTACAGCGGTGAATAATTTCAAAATACCAAATGCTATTTCTCTGTTTAACAACCCCACGCAAGCTCCACGCAAGTTAACTACGTGATTAGTTATTCATCCGACAAACTACGTTTTGTGCAACGAATGCAGTTATGTGGTGTAGTTAACTAACTAGAAATACATTGCATGCAGTGACCCCTCGCCGGACCTTAATGCAACAACATCATTTCCGAAACAGTGTGAAAATCATATTATATTTAACAAAATAAAGTATTTACAATAAAATATAACAATTTAAAACAGAACAAATTTAATATTTACATAACAGTTAAAATAACAAACTCGCAATATTTGGCTACGTTGACATACAGTGATTTCTCATCGGGTAGTCGAATTGTTGAGAACGATATTAAGATTGAAAACATTATTGGCTCATTTTTCACATGCTGATATCTCATTAATTGTTTGATTGAATCGCCTTTTAACCTGTTATGTTAATTTTGCTTGTGTATAGAATGCGTGATGTTTAACGTTAAAAATCAATGATGGTATAGAGATTATATGTCAACGTAGCCTAGTCTGCACGTTTGAGAAGTTTAAGCACTAAACTTCTCAAACGTGCAGTTTGTAAATTGCATTGAGGGCTTTTGCTGCCCTCGTTTTTGTGTTGTGCGCCCAGTCTGCCGCTGGGGGCACACAACCCTTGTGTGGCCCCGCTGGCCACACAACCAACAAACAGCCCCTATAAGAAAAAAAAAGTCACTATAAGAAAAAAAAAGTCATTATATATATATTATTTTCATACATTGTGATGGCCAGCGGCGTCTTTAGCAATGTTTAAATATTTGATTAGACCTTCTGAATTCTTTCTGTCACACCGGGCTTGGTATGTTTAGCCCTAGAGTCAAGGTTATCACAACATCACACCACTTTGCAATTGTTCACGTGACTATACAATACATGGCAATCCATAAGGTATTAAATACATACGCGATTGGCAGGCGCGAGCACGATGGCCCCGCACGCCACACTTGTAGCAACGCCCTAAGGTGGAATATCAAGAAATGATTGGTCTTCTGGCTAACTAAATTCGTGAATTAACTGACCATTGTCAATAAAACTTTATTAACCTGCAATATGTCCACGGAAACCTAAAAGAGAGGAGATGTCATTTTGAGCATCATTGCAATGTAACCATTATTGATCGAGTGTTATGTGTTTACATAGGTAATAACACTAATGAAATTATACAAATTAATACCTGGGAGCAAGCCTTTCCCCCGAAGAGCAGGGAGCGGATGATGTTCTGAAATGTACGTAACAAACTTGGTTGACACATCGCGTAAATTAGGATATTAAATTGATAACGAAAAGTTTTTAAAAATTGGAAGCTATCTGGAAGCAAATGGTATACATTACATTTCAGTAAAATTAAATGATACAATAATACCTGGGGGCAAGCCTCTCCCTTGTGGTGCAGAGAGTGGATGATCTTCTGAAATGAAACAATAATACACAAATACATAGATGTGATTTTCAATAATGAACAAAATACATAGATGTGATTTTCATGCATCCACCACAAGGACAACATTTTTACAAAATGGGGGGGGGGGGTTGTACGTAAAATTAAAGAAGAAAGGCAATTGGGTTGAGCTGGGTTGTGGTCTTTTAGCTCATTGGAAAATCTGTAACGGATAACAAAAATGTGAGGTTATATACCACAAATTATATATATATATATTTCTTTATATATGGCTAAGTCAATAATAATATTGTAAACTTGTGCATTGTTGATATAATTGTGGTGGCACAGGATTTACTGTGATAAAATGAGAGTATTTTAGTTGTGCACGGGGAGCTACAGGATTGCTCACCTGGCCCATCCACTGCCACGGCAGGTTGCTCTGCTTCTCTTAGATCTATGGTGAAGGGAAATTTGTATATAAAATGTATTATACACTTTATTGTTGTGAGAAAAAATGAAAACAGTGCGACAAATGAATTAGATTAATACTTTGAATATTTTTTATTTACCTTCATCACCCTCTGCATCAACTTCAATTTCTAAAATGCAAGAGGCAAAATCTTTAATCAATATTTAGTACTTTGCTAAATTTATACTACAGTATGTGTGTAAATATGGCCAGAGTATTATAAAGGCCACACTAAATTGATTTATGTCTTTAAGAATAAATCTATGTTTCATATATATGGCATGTTTGTCATGTGCGAAAAGAAAAGGTTACCACAAATTATGTATTTCTTATATATGGCAAGTGCCTATCTGTAAACATACCAAGTACTTCTTCTTCATTTTCCACTAAAATACATAGAAAAATCAATAATAGTAAAAACGTTTACCATTACACTACAACCATGAGAAAAGTGGTTTGTAAAAAAGAGGTTGAATCTTACTTTTTTCTCTCCTTGTAGATGATCTTATATGCCATCAACATAAAAATATATTGAGTAAACATATTTTAATACTATTTCAAAAGCACTATACGGTTAAAATACATTGTATACTCGAGGCAAGCTTAAAATTCCTTCAATATAGCTACTGAAATGTTATTTTTGAGAAAAGAAATGTATTAAAATAGCAAACTTACATTTTTTTGAATAATATTTATGACTTTTGTAGCTGTAAAATATATAAAAAATACAATAGTTTCATTAGTTTATTGAGAAAAGTTAAACACACAAGACAATACGCGTCGGCGTTGGAAAAACATGCCAATTTTAAAATGCAATAAAAAGGATACAGAAGTTTCTCCCTAAAATATCTGTGCGTAAATTGGTAAATCAAATTGTCGACTGTGGAATAGTATATTAAAATTTATTCGAGCGAACTTTGAAATGTTTAATATTTTATAAAGTTTTTTATTTTGAAAAAGACTTACCGCAGTCCAAAAACAGCAGGATATCGGCAGGATATTTCGCGCTCTTTTTGAAATTTATGTTATACGTGAATTTTGCGTGTACTTTATTATTGTTACCAGGCAAATCGCGAAATATCCCCGCGCGATGGTATTGTGGTTTTCATTTCATTGATTGTTATTGTAAATAGGTAACTTACCTGATTGATATAGTGTACATGTCAACAGCCACCCTCAAAAGCATAATACCTGATATTATGTCTAGTAACAGGCAATATGACACATGTACAGTACATTGCCATCCTCAAAAACAAAATTATAGAGGCAAAGTTGTAATAAGACATACAAACTTCACTTCTAAAATTGTGTCTAGTAGCAGGCGACTATGATTTCCTCGAAAGCACATTGGTGCCCAGTATCATTAAACAAAAGGATATAACAACTTACAATACAATCCATATCTTTATATGCATATATTCAATGCTTATGCCTCTGCTCAGTCTTTTCTGCAAGCACACGAAGTCGTCGTTCCGCTTCTTGTCGCTTCTTCAAATTTTTATTCCTACCAATGACTTTCAGACGATCAAATGTCATAGGTTCAAACACAATATCATTAATTGATCTTACCCTAGATGCTGCCACAAATGTGCAGCCAGCAACTCTCTCCCCTTTACCTAAATCAACAACAGCCTTGGTTAGTGTCTGTCCTTGGGACTTGTGTATCGTCATTGCATACCTCAGCCGCAAGGGCAATTGTTGTCTTGACAAATACTTTCCATCCGCCATCCACTCAAACAGTCTTGGAGGCACAGGTATACACTTTGAACATTCTTGTAGAAATGCAGGGCCAGAATATGCTGGAAAATGAACCAGTACTGCAATCGGTAGATTTGGTGGACCCATATTCTCTGCAAACCAAAATTGCTCAACAGTTCCAAAAGAGCCATTGCAAAGACCGACTTCTGCCCAAAGGTTACATGTCAGCATCACTTCTGCTTTGGTTGACAAAAAGAGGACAGCTTCCAAACCACCTGCTTCATCAGATGTTGCCGCACTTGCACCTCGACCAGAATGCCTTGCTTGAATTTTGACCAAGGGTTGTCCAATCTCTAGCAACTTCTCATAATTATATTCAGCGACACTTTTTTTATCAAAGTACAGCCGGATTGCATCACTAAATCGATCCATTGAAACGTTAGGTCTGGAGTGCTGTATTAATAGTCTCCAGTCCATCTCGGTAACTTGTCCATCTCTCATTCTCATCAATAGCGCCCTGAATGCAACTACTTCTGGGTCTTCACCAATCTGTCGCATGACCTGCTCTAAAATGACTACCGTACATAATCAAATGTTAAATACATACTGTGACCATGGTCACTGATTACAGATCCATTACCTGCAATGTACATTGGTTTATCGCCTACAGGAGGTAACTGGCCGAAATCTCCCATTAGGATAATCGACAACCCACCAAATGGGATATCCTCTTTTCCTGTACCTGCACGTAGTCTGTTGTCAAGCCATGAAAGCATCTTATGTCCAATCATTGACATTTCATCAATAATGAGAAACCTCTTACCTTCCAATCTGAGCTGCAATCTCTGTAAGGAATCGCCCTGTAATTCTCTGTATTCCCGAATCGGAAGTTGAGCTGCGGAATGCAAAGTTTGACCACCAATACTGAATGCAGCAATTCCAGTGGTTGCTGTGACAATACATTGGTCTTGCAATACTTGCTTTAGGGCACTAATTAAATATGTCTTACCTGTGCCAGCAGTACCACTTACAATCATATGTAGTGGTTCACATTCATCATTAGCCATGGATGCAGTGATAATGTCAAATGCCAGTCGCTGTTTGTCATTCAAGGTCCCTGGGTCAACCACCACTTGTTGGTCACCTGTTTGATACTGCATACCTTGCTCCTCTGCATCCTTTCTCTGTTTAGAAATCCACCCAGCAGATTCTCTCAACAAATCCCCAGGCACACCTCTTGCTGCTTCGAACCAATCCACTGCCTCGTTATTTGCCATTTGATCTCCTGCATCCTCATAATGTTGGTTGAGTCTACATAACAACATCCAATCCTCAATTTGCTCTTCCTCATTAGGTTGATCCTGTTCGTCATCGCTTTCATCACTACTTTCATCAGTTCCATATGCATATTCTCTAGCAAAATCTGTCTGAAGAAATGAAGCATATATATGTGTTAATAAACATATCATCAGTTTCCTCCATATTGTCCCATGCATTTGATGACTTATCTTCCCATGGTTTAAACTTAATGAGTTGATACTTGCAGTATTTTCCAAAGGTAGGGCTGCCAGGATTGGCTGTAACCTTTGGAAATGTCCTGACAATATAAGGATTCACTCGTTTTGTCAACTCACCTCTGACTCTTGTGAACTGAGATGCATACTGCATCAAATTCAACTGAGATAACCCCCTATACCTACTCTCCACTTTTGTCCGCTCTCCATAATCTTGAAGAACAGAATTCTGAAGTACTTCCTCTTGTGGATTTTCTGCATCAAGGATCACTTTTCTACTGTTTTCTAAAGAAACAGTAACAAAACTATACGTACAGCCTACCAAAGGCAAACTGAGTAACATATGGGCAGTCTCCTGAGCAGCCATGTCCCTATCACCAGCAACTTGAATCATTGCTTTCTTGATTGCAGAAGACACTTGGTCATCATTCTGTAATGAAGATACAGACAACTTCAGTATGTCAGAAGCAGATTTTGATCGTGGTTCCCCTTTCGCTGCATACTTGGCCATGTATCTTGCACATGCCTTTTCATCTACAATTACCTGCAAATCCACATTGGCCCGCCAATTCTCAAGCATGACCCTGTTGTGTGAATTCAGCCTCTCATCATTTCTCTTGGTTTGCAACTCTGAGTGTACAGATTTATTTTTCTTACCTCGAACCTCATAAATCAGTGCAGTCTCCTCTTGTAATGGTTTTGGGAACCCAAATCTGCACTCTGCAGGCAGGTCAACCCTCTTCTTTTTCAGGCAATACGCTGGACTGCATCTGGTGTGCCTCTCTACTGAATTTACTAACCTGTGATAATCAACATCATGATTATCAACTGATGTGGCTTTCACAGCAGAAGGGTGTGGATCTGGTACTGTCCAGTTCTCATCAGGCAGATCATCATTAACTGTGGTCACAAGCCAGTCAACGTAACTTTAAAAGAAATAAAAATAACATGGTTATAACACCTAATTTATATATATTTTTCCATAATTGTAAATACTTTGCTGTTTACACTCTCAATTCCTTAGCATTAGGAAATATCAGTTTCTAAAGAAAATATACGGAATTTTGTTTTTTTGTGAATGTATGTGGAAGCTGTATTTAGCAAAATTTGCAACATTGTAGCAATAGTAGGCTAAAACTAAAAGTCTGGGGAAAATGTTTTTTAAGATTTCTACAGCACATACAAAGAATTTCTAATAATGCACATGCAGCTTATACCGTGGACACAATTTGCGTATTTATGTGGTGAGTGTAAATCATTTATAATACTTAAGATATACATACAAACCTTACCTAATTAGCTTTCTCTCCGCATCTTCACCCTCTCTGACAATTTCCTGGCAAGAGAATTCAAAATCGTCCAGGGCCTTTTTTAACATATATACTGGGGGGGCCAAGGCCCCCCCACCCTCAATGTTGGCCCCCCCAGTTCACTATTTTGGCCCCCCCAGTGAAAATCCCCTTTTTAAAAGATATTAACAAAAAATGAAGAATATTGAATAATTTAGCTCTGCGACAGTGTATTACTATTAGCATTCTTGTATTCTGTAACCCAACCTTTGTTGAATGTAATTCGACGAATGTTATTTGTCGAGACAGTCGAGCACGAAAATGGCTTAAATAGACAAATAGATTCATCAATGATCAATCATTTTTCTGTTGTAATGTACAATATTTCAAATGCATCTTTACCTTTACAAATATACATGGATATTTGAGTGTACAGAGATTATACAGTTAAAAGAAAATCTTCTTCAGACTGGAAAATACACTAAACTGTCAAATATACACTCCATTACTCCCTTATTTTTGGTAAGACGTAAGTTAACTTTGTATTTTTTGTGCGTTTTCCATATTTTTATCTGAGATACAAATACAGTTTTTAGAATAAATTTGAAGGCTCAGAATATAGGAAATGGCGTTTCTTGACTATACTGATTTCAAAAATCTCCCAGGTGCCCCCTAGCTTTCGGCCATGATCGACATTCCTACTTCTTTCCGCTAGTGGGGAAGCCCTTTTTTGCCAATGGCCCACCCACTCGAAATTTCTTAAAAAAGGCCCTGAAATCGTCAGGGGACATTTCATTTTCTTTCTCTTTCTCAAGCACTGCTTGGCATGCACGTTTACGTAATAATCGAATATCTGGATCGTTCTTTAATTTAGCACATCCATGAGCATGTATACTTCCTCTGGCCTGATATTCAAACCTATACCAAAACCATTCAGCATCCAAGACACCTTGAAGCCAATGTTTGATGAACTTCTGTAGCCTTTGCATGAAAAACCAATCTGTCAGGTGTGGATTGTCTATCACTGCTTGTGCTCTTTCTGTTCTTGATGCCCCCTCGTTACTTTGCAATAGTCTTTGCAAGTCTGGCCAATGGCTGTCAGCTGCACTAAAGGTAAAGAAAAAGGTAGGGCAACCTTTTTGTTCAATCAGGGCTAACAGTTCTTGCAGTCTCTGATACCAATACTGATTTGTACCCTGAATTTTTGAAACATAACGTTGCAAACGATTTACCATTTGATTTGCACCCATAGAGTTTACCATTGTTTTCAGCTCCTCCATAGTCATGTTTGCATCCGCTGGATGTTGCCGGAAGTAAATGTTAGCTTGTGACAACAACTGATGTCTCTGCTTCATATTCAACGCCCAGTATGGGAACCGGGGATGTGAGGCAAACCTCCATTCAAACTTACCATTTGGCAGCCTCTCTGCAAACTTCATCAGGTGTTTGAATGCCTCTGCCAAACTTACCTCATGCTGCCTGACTCTGTTTGTTGGGTCACCTTTCCCATGGGGAAATAGTGTGGGAAATGCCATGCTTGCCAAACCATCTGTTTTAAACTCATTAACAGCATTACCTTCAGTTGAGGGCCAGTCTAAAGGGTCAACCTCATTCACTGCATCTTGAATAGCTGCACCATCCTTTCTTTGTCTTTGCCGCATAGGAATAAATGATGTACTGCCATTTCCTAAAACTAATTCTTCAACTGTTGCATTAGCACTCATTACAGGTTCTTGTGGGGGGCCCTCATTTTCAACATGAACTGGTAGTTCATTGTCATCAATAATATACCTTAGCTCTTCAGGGACACCATTTTCAGGTAGACGTTGGATAATATCCCTGTCAATCTCAATATCTTTGAAAAATGGATTGTTTGTTTTCAACCACGATATAGCTTCAAACACCTTGTGTCGACGAACTGTAAAATCTTTATGTGTTTCATCAGCACCCTGCCTTCGCACAATCATAACAGGCAAGTCAGCCACTTGTGCAGGCAACCTATTCAAAAAACTTTGAATATCCTGTGGTAAGTTTAGCACATGACCTTTGTAGCCCCTTTGCCCACCATGTTTTCTGTAGACTTGCATGATGGGGCAAACCCTTGAAATCAGCATTTCCTCTACCTGTGTCAAACCTCTCAATTGCTCTGGAACAGTACCTGGGTCCATGTCATTGCCAGTACTGAAATTCTTTGGTGATTTCTTGTCTCTTTGACACCGGTAACAAACGAAGGGATCTGCTGCCAAGTTTTGCTTTGTCGGCCAAGTCTCTTTACAAATTGTACACTGCCGATGCTCTAAATGCTCTTGATCTAAATGAAAACTGTGCATTTCATTCTGAACAAACTCCTGCTCATGCAAGGGGTTGTCAACATTTTGCCAACCACCTTCATGCAAATATTGGTCTGAACTACTTATAGCATCATCATTTGTACCATTCTCATCACACAGTCTTACCTGATCGTTTTCTGACTGTACCTGCTGTGGTATTGACCTTGTCTCATAGGATCTTTTCGCTCGTTTCCTCACATTTTCAAGCCTTTCTGCTCGCTTTTGGACACTTTCACGTCGCCTTCTCTCTCTTGCGTTAGCTCTATTTTCTTCCCTTTGCATCTCACTTTCTTCACTTGTACTTGCTTCTTTTCTCCGTTTATAAGCAGCCCTACGCTTCGCCAAGCGATTCTCCTTTTCTTCTGACGTTTCTTGTTGCAAAAGTAGTCGTGCATTTTCCCTTCGTCTCTCGAGTACCTTGCTGGAGCTCGCTTCAATTCTACGCTTATGAGAAGCCCTTCGCTTTGCCAAAGAACGTCCTTTCTCTTCCGACGTCTGCTGATGAGATTCTTCACGTCTTTTATCTCTTTTCTTTCCTCTTTCATCGCATGTACTTACCCTGACCATTTTTTTGTACGCATCTCTTCGCTTTGCTAACCTATGCTGCTTTTCCTCTGCCGTTTCTTTATCCATCTTGGCCTTATGATTAACCCTTCTTTTTGCCAGCATTTCCTCGTGATAACCTGCTTCCTTCTGCATCTCGGTTTCCAAATTGGACATTGATTTTAACGAAAAATTTGCTTGTCTTAAGCACAGTAGATTTTTTTTGTAAAAAGTTTTTAAATGGCTTTTTAAAAAGACAGTTAAATCGCTGACGCTGTATTTTAAATATAAACATTTTGTCTTGGCCAATCAGGATGATACTGGTTACCAGTGTTTACTCGTTCAAAATTTCGCGCATGCGCATATCTAACAAAACCACCCAACGTCGACCGTCCATGACAAAGAATTAGAGAGCTTTAGATTTGACTACGGCTCCCGCTACGGCTACGAGATTCGTCATTTGCGCGCCAATCACGCCACGGTCAGCTATCGCTAGTAGGGTTTGCGCGAAAACTTTGTAGCCGTCGCCTCGTCTAGTACGACATTTTTTAAAAACTTGGTAGTTTCGACTACGTGGTGAAGCCGTGAAGGAATTTTAAAAGGTAAGGCGTTATAGCTAAGTGGCTATATCTCTTATTATTATGCAGAATATTTTCTTATGAACCGGAAGTGGAAGGGCCCCCTGTCGGTAAAGTCTGAGTACAACTTTGTTTACATTTTGTTTATAAAATTTTCGTCAAGATGTGTCCACTTCTTCGTGTCTACGTTTATGGTTGTGCTGTTTTTCTTGATATAAATCTTCAACCGAATCGACGGCTTCAACTAATGTCAAAATTTCTTAATATTTTAAAAGCAAAATGCTACGAAGACCGTGTTCATATATCAAGCGTTTATTTTTATAAAATACAGTTTGAATTTTTTTATTAAAACAAACCATTTTTATTGTATTGTTTGTATACTTATTTACCATTTAAACAGACATATATTTTATACATAAATTTAACTTATTGTCTTTTTAGATGGAAAGCGAAAACACAAATGAGACGGGGAAAAAGGGTGTCTTTGTTTGGCGCGAATACCATGACAGATATTTGTTGGGGGAAGTGCTACTTTTGAGCCATACAAGTATCGTTTCGGCTCGAAGGAAAGGGGATCTGCGTGGACTTCAATTGCCGAACATTTGGAAGAATTTGGCATGAAGGTCAGCCAAAGATCGGTGAGGGAGCGGTTTAGTCGGATGATGGATGCATTTAAGAAGAAAGAAGCGGTTGAGAAGAGAGCTAGTGGTGTGGATGTTGACTATACAGAGAAGGACAAAGCATTGCTAGATATCATGGAGAGGATGGAAGAGTGCGAAGCAGAAAGTGAGCAAGAAAAACAGAAGGAATTGCGGGAAAAGGAAACAGCTGAAAAGATGAGGAAGCGTGCGGTCGAGAGGTTTGGTGAGACGAGGAAGAGGTTGAATAGTGAGAATGTAGTTGGGGAGATGCCAAATGGAAAACGGAAAAGGAGTGGGGAAATGATAGAAGTGCTAAAGGAGTCTATAAAGGCAACCAAAGAAGAGAGGAAGCTGAAAGGAGAAATGCGAGAAAAGGATATGAGTCTAAAAGAGCAGCAGTTAGCAATGCAACAGCAGTTCCAGCAAAGTCTGTTGGAACAACAGCAGCAGTTTCAAGTGCAACAACAAGCCATGACTATGGCAATTGTCAATGCAATGACTGAATTGGTAAAAACCATTAAAAAGTAAATTTTCCTTTTATTTAACATTTGCATGGCAACAACTTTTTATATTACAACCAGAATATTTATATGTTAATAATATGTACAGTGTAAATATCAATTTATGAATAGGAAATTATTATTTAATACCAATTTTTACACACTTGATAACAAAATTATTCATATCCCGAACACAAATTTGAGGTTTTGCACTTTTTAAAAAGGAATAAATGAGTTGGGAAATTTTGAGCTTTCCTCAATGCCACAAATCAAAATCAAGCTCTTAAATAAGATATTTTTGCTTCACACCCTATAAGTATAAAAGCAATGATTGACAAGGACATGAATATTTTTGTTGTCAAGTGCAGTTATATTATTTACATATTGTTTTAAGAATAATTTAAATATTTTTCAAATGTACAAATGTTAATTAATTGTAATTATTCCACATCAAAATTGTTTGTTTGAAAATATTCCTGAAGAGTCGGTGGGGCAAGACCAAAAAAATATGTAGTCGTGGAACCATGTAAACATGTAAGGGCATTTCTCAGCAAGGCACACACTACATAAATCTTTCCAACATGACTTAAACCAATCTTCAGACTATGTTTGAAATTCAGGAATGCGAAGTAAGATGTAATATCCCCAAAAACCCATTCGACAGCAACCCGAACAGAACTCATAGACCTATTAAATTCCTGCTCCTCATTACCTAAATTGCCATGTCGGTATGGTGACTGAAGGTGTCTTCTCAGAGGGTATGCAGGATCACCGTATATGCATAATGGTTCACCTGTTTCTGTGTTGCAGTGTTCCTCAAGTGACTGCAACACGCCAGACATCCTTAGCATGGCTGCATCATGCCTTTTCCCTTCTACATAAACAAAATGTCCAGTGGTAACATAGAGAACTTAATTAAAGGGGGTTAATCCATCCCCATATTAATTTAAACAAGTGCCACAGTGGTTACATGAAAGCTGATTGAAGAAGCTCTTCATGAGCCTGTAACCCTGGTATTTATATAAAATATATAGTCCTGCAAAGTATATACACAAATGTATATACACACATGTTTGTTTACCTAATTATAATTTGTTATACTGCAAAACAGAAACATATACCCACCTACTGGCCCGTAAAGGTTAGCAATAAGTCCATTTGGAGCAACTACGGATTGAAATTTAATTGCATGGACTCGTTTGTGGCCGTTATAAACGTGTCGCTGGTGCTGACAAGGGCGAGCGATTGCTCTGACGGTGCCATCAACGAAACCCCAACAGTTGGGTAATGCTGCTCCGTGCTGATGAATAGCATCTGCGAATTCTTCCAGACATTGAGGTGCAAGCCACGGCTGATTCAATGTTCTCAACAAATATCCGTGTGTTTGGTAGATAAAATCAACAACCTCAGACGTTATTAGACTTAACTCTGGTACTGATCTTCCAAACCGATGTACAATATCACCAAATCTACATGGGTATGCAAAACGTCGCAATAGGATGCATAAACCTTCAATTCCAGAAGCCACCGTGCCATTAGAGCAGCGAAATTGTTCGGGAATCATCAATGCTTCGGCTAAGGCGTCCAATTCTGATTTGTTAACTCTGAACTCGGCTAGGCACTCGTCGTCATTCATTTGCTGTAGCTGGACATTGATGTTATCGTATTGCCAGTACGGAAATTCCGGCGAGGTTTGCTTGGTTGCTTCGTGTATGACAAGAAATTCTTGTGCGGATATATACTTTTGCGTAAATAAAAATGCAGCTGCTTCTAAAAGCGTTTTATTGCAATACATGTCGATGTTGTTAAAATGGATCCAACTAAAAATACGACTACCAGCACAAAAAAATCACGAATGCAGTACTCGTACTCGTAGTTGCAGCCATCTTAACAACTACGCGCTTGACAACGACTACGGCTACGAAGTTTATAGGACCCAGTCTTTTCGCAGTCGTTCACGTAGCGGTAGCGGGAGCCGTAGTCAAATCTAAAGCTCTCTATTTGGACAACTTTGGATTCGGCTATGTTCTACCGGGTTCCGGGTGTAACTCCTAATCTCCGAGCGGAATTAGTACCCTCGCACGGCGCTCCGCGCCGGCTCGGGGATTATAGTTAGGGATTTAACAGGGATTTAATTTACAGTGAATGGCGATAATCATAGTTAAAGTTAACGACGTTTTTATACAACCGGTTCTAGGTCATGCATAACCATTTAATGAGCACTATAAAATTCAGGTAATTTTTATCTATTTACACCATCCTGTTACAAGTAGATTTTAGTTTCAACCCTGCTTTGAGGGTTCCCCCCAGGTTATAGAACTAATGTAAGCAAACCGAGGGCTCGGGCTAAGCTTAATTCTAGTTACTCATGCAACCATAAAAACTGCATGCATTCTTAAAACATTTTTACAGCACTAATAACTAATGTTACACCTACACTGTTGTCAGCTCAAGTTTAACGGAATGGATTAAAGATTTTTATAGTTGGCCCTGAAACCTCGTTTTTATGTTAAAGCTGATTTCCACATTTATTTTCTAAATTAAATTATTTTTTATTCATGTGTTGAGAAAGGATGTTCTGCTATATACCCGTGGGAATCAAGTATAAACTATCGATCGCATTCAAGGTGGTCGTAGTTCCACAAGAATGAGCTTGTGACAATTATTCGAAAATTGTGCACTTGAGTACTGACAGCTATGAATATTGCGGCAGTATAATACTAGTAGAAATACATGCATGCAGCAACCCCTCGCTATTTCAAACCAAGTACACAATTTCCTGAGCTAACCTGATCTAAACTTATATTATGAAATGACCCAAAGTCAAATCAGTCTTATTATAATTTACCGAATATATTATAGCCAATAATGTTTCCATCATTCGATACAAAAATAACCATAAAGTCCATAAAGCTAGTGTACATAAACATTGTCCGTTCAATTTTCCTGCATTGTAACATGGCAGCAATTAAGTAGTGGTTTAAAATCGAAGTTTCAAAGGATTAAAACAGTACACAATCTTGAGAGACAAAGAAAAAACTTCACACGCTATTTTACCGACCATGACATCTTTGGACAACTTTGGATTCCGCTATGTTCACCCGGGTTCCGGGTATAATTCCTAATCTCCTAGCCGAATTAGTACGCTCGCAGCTTGATGACGAAACTTTTCGAGTGTGCGGCGGGATGTCCTACAAATAGTGATGTCAGACCATAAGCTATTTGTAACGAGCATTTCGCTGATCTGAATTGCAGACTTTGCGCGCACCATGCATAAAAGCTGAAAAAGGGGATATTATATACAAAATGCTTTCAAAATCACCGAGTGATCATTAATTATTGTAATCTATCTAAATTTAAATCTGAAACGCAGAAGAAGAAAAAAGATCCGAACACGGTATTACAGAAAATGGAGGTGCTTTTGACACCTTGAAGTCTTTTAGCGGGAACAATTAAGTGAGTAAGAAATGTAATCTTGAACAGTTTTTTTAGTTTGGATTAAAAAGTTGTGGAAAGTTTTCTTATCTCGCTTTCTCATGAATGACAAGACGTGCGCTGTATATAAACATGAACGGGCGGTAATATTTTTTATTTTACTAGTAAAACACCAGTCGAGATCCTGCACACCATGCTTCTTGGGCCTGTGAAATATTCAGCATGCATCACAATAAAATCGTTAAATGAGCACGAGAAAGACCAGCTGCACGCGAAAATATCAGCTTTCGACCTGAGACCGTTTGAAGCACACATAACGGGGAAACATTACAAGGAATTATGGTTCTTACGTAAGGAGAGATTTTAATTTCGGTCTTAATTTCGAGTGGAATTATACACATTTTAAATTCAAGCCAAGAACAGTTGATGGAAAAGTGAGTCAACTATAGGTCCTCATGCAGGAGTCGAACTTTTGCGATGCCGGTGCAATGCTCTTGCCATTGTGTATAATTCCACTCGAAAATAAGACACTTTCATGCAACCTCTATAAAAATGCATATAATTATAATTTCCTAGATTTGAAGTATTCAATTCCACAATTAGAAGTATCGACTTTAACATGCAGCAATCGGCTTGCATCTAGTTTAGACATTAACAAATCTAGTTTGGACAAAGTTTGGGGTGGTAGATTATAATGTAGGCTAAGTGTGTGTGTTGAATTTGATAGACGACATTATAATTTACTTTATAAACTCCGTTTTTTCAAAATATTCTTGTGCAAAAACCAGTCGAGGTGTAAACATAAAACTTCGGAAGTCGTATGAGACGTCTGATGTTAAATTTCATAGTAATTATTGATTAAAATAATTTACCATAACACTGACTATAGATGAGTATCTTAACTTCCAGAAAATGGTTGGAATCTTGTCGTATTTTTGCTATTTTTTTCACAAGAATATGAGGGTAAACTTTGATTCTTTGAAAATATACGGCCGTTACGATGTGGTTGCGAGTTGCTACGACTACAGTGCTTCCGCTTCCAGAAATATCTTTCCATACTTCTCTTCTCACATACGAACAATACCAAGATACCAAGTACCCTCCAAACACCCCAACCCACACAAAATTTTGCAACTATCATGTCACCATCCCTATGCTTAACTAATTTTGTTTAACCGTGGCGAGGGGTTTCTGCATGCATGTATTTCTAGTTAGGAATTGTTTCCCTATGTCTCGGTTTTCACTGATAAATTAGGCTCACTATGATCCATGGGAATTTTTGGGAAAACCGATTGCTCAGGAGAAATTAGGAACCCTACTCGATCGTCTGCAGTTCCTTATGTATGACATAACACATTCAGATTTGTAGTGAAATACGTTTGAGAATACTAAAGTTGTGTTTACCACAAAATAATGACTTTTTATACCTGTGCCGGGTCTTATTTTCAAATTCAAGTGTAAAATCTTCCGACTTCATTATACACGGTGAATTCGGTCGGAAATTTAGTCTTGTTTTTTTTGTTAAACTGTAAAAATTCCTGATCACATTCGAGTTTCCCTCTAAGGTAATTAAATTATCTATAATTATATTCCATATTAATTTTATGAAAATCTAAATTTATGAGTTTCTTCAAAATTTTGCGAAATGACAGTTATGTGGGTTTAAAAATACAAATATTTGTCTCGACCAATCAAGAGCTTAGTAGTTGACACTGGCGCATGCGCATAGCGTAGAAGACCGTCCATGGCGTGAGGTCCATTGCATAATGGCGGACAACTTTTATTTCGCCTTTGCACATCGCGGGTGTAAATATCCGAGCGGAATTAGTACCCTCGCACGGTGCCCCGAACCGTCTCGGAGATGAGAATAAAGCAATGCATGAGATCAAAAACAGCACAGTTATAGTTCCGTGTAAATTGTTTTTTAAACCTTAAAATCGTTCATGTTGTAGTGTCGTTTCTCGACATTTCAGATTAGTCCAAACATTCCCTGCAGGCGGAGAAGACAAGTAGATTAATCCTAAATAAAAAGCTAGTGCCAGCGTCGTAGTTTATTTATGTTTTCGTCCTATATGAAAGTTAAAGTTAAAGAAAAACTTGTTCCCAGTTTTTTTTTCGCGTACTGCGTGTTCCAAATGTTCTCCGAAATAAATGCCAACTGCGATCTGATTGGTAATATAATATAATCGATGCACATATGAAATGATCGCCTCTGACTTTATTTTATTTCCTTAAGTTTATGTCGTAAATATGTAAAGGCATATATAGCCGCATAGGACAAGCAGTTTTTTTTCAGATTTGTACAGAATCGCTAAAACTAGACACGTAACGACAACCGTAACTGTTTACCCAGACCGCAGTTGAAATTGATTTTCCCAGAGCTTTTGGCACTTGCAGTACGTGAAAAGCCTGGGAAAGAGATTAAAAATTATCCGGCAGTATTCATTTCTTTAAAAATTAGTTGATTTAAAGTCAATAAACAATAGAATATTGGGAAATTTTTTTTAGGATAAACAAAAGGTTGAATGTAGAGAGAGGACTGTGATTTGGGTAAGAGTCCGTCCCAGTCCTCCCACTACATTTTGACCTTTTAGGTATCCTAAAACACACGGCCTTAAAGTATTAGCGCAGCAGTACTAAATTGTCAGTCTGACTACATCACGTACTGTAAACTGTAAGCCGTACTTAGTAGTGATTTTAGTTCTTTCAGAGGATACAAGCACCAACAATGAACCAAGCCGAGGAGTTCGATTTTGTTACAGGCGCGAAACCGGGCTTTTATCCAGTTGGCATTAAAGCTAATAATCTCTGAATTTTTTTCCTTGTCTCGGTTTTTTGTGGCTTATTAGAATATGAAATTAAAAAATAAACCAAGATTAGTTTCACTTTCAATGGTTGAGTATTTCCAGGTTCTGGAAGTGTTCTTCCAGGAAAATAACATAAGTTCTTAGTACTTATAAGTCTCATGCTGGTTTTGGAATGACAATTACATGATGATTGCATTAATTTTTGAATAATTGTGTTAAATCTATCTTGGTCACAAAGACAATCGATACACTAGTCTTTATTGCATGCAGCCGTTGAAATAGTCTCACGAAAATGTTCTAAACGACAAAAATTAAAGAATTTCTGTTATGTCATATCCAGGCAGTTGACAATCAAATCTAAATATAGTTATAATTCATATAGCAACTAGCTAAATGAAGGGCCTACAAGAATTTTCGAAATATTTACACATTCAATAATATTTATGTCGGCGATCTCACAATTATATGATCGTAAATTGTTTTAGAACCTAAAAACAAAATTGTCTTTATGGCAATTAGAATATTAAAATAACATTGGCGTTACAGTTACTTATACACCTAGTATGGAACCAATACAAATATTTTGCATAAAAAGTACTGTACCTATCGGTGATTATCGATAAAATTTTATACAGCCTTTTACACAGACAGAATTAAAGCACATATACAGCCTTGCGCTTGTTAGCTCTATTGCGGATGCACATTGTGAACATGCTCATTAAAAAAAAATGCCTAAAGGTGCGTTGACTATA